TTGATTCTCTTGGTTGGAAGCCACTGCATCTCAGGCGACGTTCCCATCGTTGTACAACGATCTTCAAGTGTTTGAGTGGTCTTATTGAATCTGATTTTAATTTTGTTAGAAATAACTTAAATCATAGTTACAACACGCGTTCCAAAGACGATTTTTATTTACTTCGCGTAAGAACAAACTGGGGCAAACAACGTTGTACGTATCAGAGTGTCGTAGACTGGAACTCTTTAAGGCAAGATATACGTGACACCGCTGTACTTTTTTGCTTTAAATCTAAGCTTAAACATGCATTTTAATTAAACATGCGTTGTCAACTGAAAGTAGGTTTCTATTCTTATCTAGTTCTAGTTTAGCTTTTTAATTTTCAAAACAAAACATTCTGATCGTTGAAAAACTAGAACACTATCGCTTATTGGAAGTATTTTGATGTAACACCAAATTCTCTTTCCATGTAAGACACTGAGGCAGTCAGCGAATGAATTTCAGTAAGATTGGTGTCCGTTTAATCTTGCTCGGAACTGGATTACGTACGAACAAAACCATATTTATAAATTTGCAAATCAACATCATTCTCATGTTCGGAGAGAACAGATTTTATCATTCCAAAACTAATTGTATTGGGTTGAGATCTATAGCGTCACTGAATTTCACTGCAGACGTTTTACTTTTGACTACAAACAAATTTGGTACAAGATTGGCGAGAGTTATTGACAAAAAAAGGTACACCTTTATCATTTTTAGAATATTTATGAAACTGTAATGGTGATAGCGAAAAATGAAAATGTGAAAAAAACCTTTAGCTTTCTCGTGGAAAGATGATAAAAAATTCTTGACCATGTAATTTGTACTGATTGATATCGCTAATCAACTGCCGATACGTCACTCGCTTTTCGCGCCTCTTTGTCAGGTGATAAGTGAGGGGCATATTCTCATTCCTAAATAAAGTCGCCTTTTCTTTTCAGTAAACGCATATAGTGTCTATAAAAGTAAACAAAATAATACATGGTTGCTCTTGGATATGGAATTACACTTCTCGTTATCGACTTGATATCTCACCAGAGAGCGCATCGAATGAGTGATATTTCGAGTTAATTAATCTAAGAGAAATTCTGCTTGTAAAAGATAACTCATAGTATGCATTCATCATTTATCGATTTAGTTAAGGCACAGAGTGTACATCCTGCACTGAGGAGAAAAATAATTTTACGGTTTGCGAATGTTTTCTGCTGGAAGGGAAATAGCTGCATTTAAACCGAAGAATGAATGTTTCAATCATCATGCAGAAAAATGTAAACAAATAATGAATTCGACGATGAAAAATAAAAAAACAAAAAAACAAAAAACAGTATAGCAATTTCAATCACGAAACTAGGCATAAGACGGGGGTTGGATCTTCTCAACTCGGGAATATGTAATCTTTCGTGTTTTAATNCCACTGGCCCACAAGATTAGGCTATGCAGGAGTCTAACTGCAACGCGCGGTTCTCGATTTGGTTTTGATTCTTAGTTGATAATGATGGTTAATTCTTGATAACAGGGGAATTGATGGAAAGTACAACCAGTGATATTTCTCCAGTTCCCAAAAATGTACTCCTATTCAGTGCCTTTTGGAAAAAAAAAATGGATTCCAAATGAAATAGCGAAAGTTTCGCTAACATAATTGGTAAAGAGCCAGCTATTTCCAGTTGTTCATATTTTCTTAACTCCTTGAAAAAAAATGTAGGATTCTCGATAGCTTTGTGGGAAATTTTACGCATGCAATTGATGAAAAAGTAAGATCTCACACTCACTTCGTTTGGTCTAGAGGTGTTTCTGGATGGCTGTAAATAAACGCGTTTGTTTTGGACGTAAATGATTCCCGGGATTTTGGTAGAGTTCTTGACGGTCACGCAGAGCCTCGACTTACGTTTTTAATGAGAACACAATCATTATGATTACGGAGAGCCTTGGGTGATCAGATAAGAATACGAAAACGAACAAATGAACAAAGTAACAAACAAATATGACACATCCCGCGGAACTTGACTGTCACGCTGCAACAATAGGGACTGTAAGCAGTCAGGACGTCAACGCTACAGAAGACATTGATTTAAAAATGAGTTTCTACTTTTAGTTAGAATTTCGAAAATGGCTGCATGTTTTTACCGTCTCATCGGGCGCCAGACCTCAAACTCAACCTAACGCATAAAAGTAGCGTTAAGTTCCAAATATAAATTAAAATAATTAGCTTCGCAGACAATGCAAATTTTGGTGATTTTACGTTGTTGTTTTGCAAAGGACGGCTAAGAAATGTACAAAGTTTTAAAACGCACGTGCCAGGCTATTGTTCTGCCAATCAGATCTATTGTTTTTCCACGTTCTCGTTGCCGTAGCCGCCGTGGTTTGCTTAAAGTCATTAATAGCGTGACGGAGGAAACTTTGAGATTCTCGTTCTTTCTTTACAATCAAATATACGGTTGTACTATATTCTCTTTAAATTACTTTTGTTTGATTCTCGTCTTTTGATTCCTAATCATGTTTTCTAACGCAGTACAATCGATTCTCCTTCATTTCCAGCTATGGCAGAAAGTAACCTCCCAAAAACGGGAGAGGAACTGGGCAGGAGTTTGGAATATTTGATTTATACTTAACAGCTTAAAATCGCCAGCTCTAAGGTTCAAAAAAGAGTCAGAGGTTAATGTCTTCAAGTGCGTTCCTAGAAGAAATCTGTAAAAACAAGGCCATTAGTTTTATTTTAAAAAAAACTGCCTTTTGTACCTGTAATTTTCATATTTCAATTAAGCTTTCATGTCTCCTTAGGAACATAATCCACAAGCACCCTGCAAAAAGCATATTTCGAGTCTTTTTTCCCAAGAACATGGAGCGAGACTTTAATGAAATCACATTTATCAGTTTGCTTAAAAACTGCCTTTTGCAATCTCCCTAATTCGTGCTCTAACATCCAGGGTTTGAAAAAGCACATTGCATTAGTTTATCGAGTAAGAACAGTATAGTTGATATGGTTACGATATATTGTGGTTAAAATAGTCGAGGCCCAGAATCCTGCATTTAAATGATTTCCCAGTCGTATTTACGCGTTTTAAAATCTTTTTATGACCGAAAAAAATGTGGATAGTGGGAAAGAGAAGGAGACAGATAATGCGCCTTTCATTCTGTTTTATTATCTGTTTTTTTATTTAGAGAAACTTTTCACGTTAGTCAAGCTCATTGATAATCTGGGGAAGTCAATAGAAGGTTGAGGGGATATTCAGAAAAAGGTGACGCAGGGTCTAGCGTCGCTATAAGACTTTAAATTGTGTTTTAAAAACAGTCCTGTTCATTAAATCACACGTGTCTATCAAGAGATTAAAACTACGGGGCTCAGAAGCGCATTTGTTTTCCTTTTTTCGTATTTCTTTGTCTCAACTTGTAGATGATTTGAGACGTGAGAGGTTATCTATTGACGAGATGGCGGGGAGGGGAGGGGGGGAGAGCGAATTTAAGGGAGGGGGGGAGAGCGAATCTTAAACCACGGTGATGGTCTTACTTACATCCTAGATGCCTAGAATCAACTCATATCTGTAACAAGAGAGAGGTTTCTCTCTGAGACATTAGATACCATAAGAAATATAACTACTCGTAGGTAATAAATCGAAAACAAAAGTAAAATTACTTACATTGTGCAGTTAGAAATACTTTCTAGACGAAATACTCCCGGGTCAATTGTTTGGATAGGATTCTGAGAAAGCGCTCTGCAAATAGGAAAAGGCTGATAATTAGTTTTGAATTTATGACGCGTGAAATTAAGGCAAGCAATACGTATTCGATATAAAGACAGCATTTATCGATTTGTTAATTTTTCTAAACTGGTTCATTGGTGTATACTTACATTATCTTTAGTTCTTTCATGGTAGCGAACGCTAGATGTGGAATACGCTGTAAACGGTTGCCATTGAGCAATCTAGCCATACAAAGAAACAGCGAATAAAGAAATGAATCTCAGCTACACTGTACCTCTGAGACTTCAATTATATACAGAAAGAAAGATATCTTATTTATCATGATTTCTAATACAAGGCCTGTATACTTCAGTCTGATGATCACTTCAAGCGCGGAAATCGAGTTACAACTTTTAGTCTTTAATACCTACACATAAAATCACTTAATGATAAGTGAAATATCCTTCCTCTAGTATGTTCAATAATTTATACACAAATAACTATAGAGATTGGACTCGCAATAACGCATCCAAGAGCACAGTAAGGTCAAAATCCTATCCCATGCCGCCAACTTCGGAAACTTAAAACCTTACAGCCACAGTGACCTGGACCGCTGGCTGAGCTACAGCAGGGCACGAGCGTGAATCATGGAAAACTGTTGCTGGCAAATGGAGAACAAGGAATACCCCTCCCAAGAAGCCCTTTCAAGCAAAAAGCAAATCTCTATTGACTTTCCAAAAGTCAATTCCAAAACCTACCCTCCCCATTTAGCAAGAAAGTATCCACTTTCAAAGATTTTCCACAAATGTAATTGTTTTCCGCAATTGCAAAACGCACGTATTGGATTTTCTTTCGCCATTATAAAGTTGCAATCAATAAATCTTCCGAAGACCTCTCCCAAGAGGCCATTTCAACCAAAAAGAAAATCCTTGTTGACTGTCCAAAAGTCAAGTCCAAAACCTATACCCTCCCCATTTAGCAGGAAAGTATCCAGTTCGAAAGATTGTTCCAAAAAATTTTTTTTTTCACATTTGCAGAACACATGTATCGGATCTTCTTTCTTAGCTATAAAATTGCAATCCGTGAATCGCTGCTCTTCAAACAAAATTTTCNAACATGTTAATACAGGAGTCAAAGGAAAGATTTCAACCGTTTACGATGACTTAATGTAGTTTACTTAATATCTAGCAAGCTATATTCAGAGCACTCAAGTCGGTAAACGTTTGGGCAGCTAAATGTGTACCCTATGGCTCACTCTTATATGTAAAGCTGGACAATGCTATATCGTGACTCAATGGTAAGCTAAGGTAAATTCAATTCTACGTACAGGTAAATCAGCTGAGTTGGTATAGTAAACAATCCTTTCGGTAAGGAGGTTATTGCATTTGAGGAGAAACCCCTACGAAAAATTCAGTGAATTTATTAAGGAAAAAGGATTTCCATATACGTACGTCTTAGCGGAAAAACGTCATTGAGAACGTAACATGATATCTTGTGACCGGTTTCAAAATTAAACTGATTTGTCTTTAAACTACAAAAAGAGACAGAGTTTCGGTTTAAAGGAAAAAAAAGGAATAAAACAAACAGGGAATCAACAAACTTTGAAGTGCTTAATTCAGGGATGACAAAACTCTTGGGCGAAGGAAAAAAATTCAAGAAAGTTTAGTAGAAATGGGTGGAAACATTTTACCGCATCAGCAAAACTTTGAGCACTGCCATAACATGAACAAAACGTTTTAGCGTACTCTATGAATAGTTAAAATTACTTACAAGAACTGCAGATTGGTTAGATTGGCAAATAATCCTTCTGGCAAAAAGGTTAAAGCGTTTGAAGAGAAATACCTTAAGAAATTTCATCAAATCAATTTAGTAAATACGAAAATAGCTATATCAGATTTTTATCCAAAAAGAAAATTCGCGATGGCAACTTATATCGCAAGTTGTCTTGTAAGCAAGCTGAGTTTGAATAAAAAAAAGTTAAACAAATTTATACCTTATTTAGCAACAACGTATTGTTTCTTTTTTTGCATTTGTTTATTTATTTGTATTTGTTTTTGTTTATTTATTTTAATTTTTTGTTGTTTTTTACTTTAAATCAAGATAAGTGCAAGATGTAAGCGTTTTTGAAGAAATCTAACATAAATTGTAGAGGGCTAAACCTTCTACAAGGGATCTGCTCAATCAAAATTCTATGGTGGAAAGGTGATAGCTATGACCCACAACGAAATGAAAAACATCCTTTCGAGGGAATTATTCTTGAGGCTAAAATACACTTTCGTATTGTTTTATTTGCATTAGTATCAAACCTATTGAACTAGGAGAGATTCTTATCATCCAATTAAAATTACTTCAAAAACATCAGCTCTCTTTAGATGGGGGTAATTCAGTTAATTAAGCTATGAAAGCGATATTTTCCAACGTAAGCATAGGTACATTTTATTTTACATACAGAGACCCCAGGCGAGTCAGCTTAGAAAACAATCCTTCCGGTAAGGAATTTAATGCGTTTGAGGACAGATTCCTTTGAAAACATCAATGAATAAAGTCAGGAACAAACATTTCTATCGGCACATATTATGAAGAGTAATAAATGACAATGCCCACAAAGCGTTCCATCTTGTGATCATTTCCGAAAGAAAGGTAAAGTATTTGAGAATGCCACTACACCAACAGAATACACTCTTAAATCTTTTTAATTACTTAAAAAGAATTTCGAACTACTTTTTCATACGTTCGTATTTTATGACATAAAGAGTTACCATACCAACACGAGAGAAAACCCTTCATCAAGTTAGTTTCATGTGTTTGTAACTAAAAAGAGGAACCCTCTGACCCGATTTATCATAGCTAAATTGCAATCGGCCTATCATTGTGCGTCTTTCTGCCAAGTCTAAAAAGAGGTATATGCATATGGTTCTGAGCCTCCCTAATTTATAGAAAAAATTTAAGGTGGCTCTGAAACAAGCTCATTTTGATTGTACTCGCACAATTTTGGCATAATTTGGAAAAAGGAACACAATTTTTGCTCTTTTTTTATGAAAGTAGCACTGGTAACATAATCACAATACTTGAGTCTTTTTTTTTAGGTAACTACCAGGGTCAGGACTTGTTTGGTCCCAAAGATTTATTATTTTCAAGTTCGGTCCATGTTTCAGTCTATTTGCCATTTTGCAATGTTTTGGGGCAACAATGCTGCCACAGTTATGAGTCGTTCGTCATCTAAAGGACTGGGTACACCGAAAATATCGATTGCGTCGATCGCCCTTCCCACTTTCTCAGCCAAAAAAATGAGAAACGTGATGATAGCATAGTAGATGTTCATAACTTAAGTTACCCTTTCTAGTCAGTGGAATTAGGTGCCGTAATTAATTGCGTTTTAACAGAGGAATTGTAACTCATATCAAAGAAGATTTCATACTTTATATATTTTTTCATTTTTAAAAAGCATACTTTAAGAAAATGTAGGGTAATTTTCAAAAAGGAACATACTTGTGAAAGAAAATCGAGCAATGCTAGTAGCCTAATAAGCTAATTTTTACTAACACAATCTATGAGGGCCTACTCTGAAAGCTATGCACAGGTTATAATTCATTGCTAAAAATTGGGTCAGCGAGCTCGTGTAGGAGTTACAAGTATGTGAAGCAGAAAGTAAAGGTCTTTTTAAAAGGCTGGAGTGGTCCCATGGTAATCTCGGTCGTGATGAAACTCAGAACTTTTCAAGAAAAAATTTAACGGAAACAAACAAAAAAGTGTGGAGGCAGTGATCCATCGAAGAATTTCTGTTCAGAAAATAACGAAATCACCTGGAAATGACCCTACGTAAGGTGAATTAGACGGGAAAGAACTCGAAACTGCATGATTTAATTATGGCACACATAGTTCTTTTTTTATCTGCAGTCGTGTGCGAGATTATACATATACCGCTCATGGAAAAATAAAAAACGAAAGAAAACCATCTAACAGAGAAGGCTAGAGCTTCTACAAACAATTTACTTAGTTAAAAACTTGTATTTTGTAGGGTGAGCTAATTTCTATTCCATTTTACGCACAGGTGCAGAAGTTGGGTTAGATTGGCAAACAATTCTTCCGACAAGGAGGTTATGGCATTCGAGGACAAGTCCCTTAAGATAAATTGGAAACTGAAATAAGTCAGGAAATCATTATAAATCCAGTTTTGAATGATTTTGCTAGATTTCATCACAAAGGAAAACCGTATACCCTATAAAGCATGATAATGGTTAGATTTGCAATGCTTAAAGCTAGAGTGAAAGAGGAGAAAACGCTTAAATGTTGTAAACGCTCCGTCTTGTAGAATTAATTTCTCCTTTTTTCATTTTAAAACTTAAAAGATGTTATTGGAAAGTATGAAGACTTTAAAACTTACAGGCATTCAAGTGTAATTTTTTATACAAAATGTCGAACTAAGGTGACCTTTTCTTCTCTTTTAAAATGAAGTGGAATGAGAAGCCTGTTCTGACTATTACATACCAGAGACTTATTATAATTGACTTGTCTAGTGGCGTGAAAAGAACATGTATATCTTCACGGATAGTCTACATTTATTGAATTTCGCTTACAGGCTCCGTAAGTTTGCTAAGTCAGCAAACAGCCCTTCTGGTAAAGAGGCTATATCGTTTGAATCCAAATCCCTGTGAAAACATCAATTTGTAAATCTAAGAAAAAAGTCTCACACGAAGTCGGCAGCTTTATGACAAAGTGGCATTCACATAGATAACATAATCTTGGAATTTGTTCCAAAGTATCGATTTTCATGAAATGAATGAACAGAAAACATTTGTCCAGCAAGATTGCCGTGTGTCGAAAATAAAAAAATGTCGCGATAATTTGAAATACACACCCGTTATTTCTACTTCCAATATGAAATTTAAATCAAGGTAAAAGGAAAAAAATTCGTTCGTAAACTTTGTTTGTTTCATGGTACGCACAGCCTGATCAGGTTGATTAGGTTGGCAAACAATCCTTTTGGTAAAGAGATGATAGCGTTTGAAGACAAGTCCCTGTGAAAAAAATAACAATTCTTTAAAGAGCGAACGACTTTTTACTACAGGATAGTTGAGGGGAAACACGAAAACCAAAATATTGACACCTTTCCTACATCAAGTTCCACGGTGAACTTCAAGCAAGAGTACCAATTGCAAGTGAAGATTTAATCAAGTAAAAGAATATGTTTTACGCACAGTCTATAAAGGCTGGTAAGTTTGCCAAACAATCCTTCTGGTAGAGAGGTGATATCATTGGAAGACAAGATTCTGTGGATAAATAAGTATAAAAACACACAAAAGCTTTCAATTTAATAGTGGGGGAGGGGTAGGGGGGAGAAAGCGTTGATACTGAGAATAATTACATCCAGCTCCAACAAAAAAAAAAATACAGACCTAAGGATAAAGACAACATTTGGCGCATAAACTCAGTACGTTTCATAGAGAGGAGAGGTAAAAGCGTTTGAAGATAAGTCCCCGTGAAAACATTACAAATAATTTATGGACCAAGCCGATTTTTGGTTTGTTTCCTTCTGTTTGATTTGTTTTTTATTTGTTTAGTTTCTTGTCTTTCTTTTTCTTTTGTGCTTTTTTTTTTGTTTCTTTCCCTCAGGGAGATCTGAAAGGGAAGAAAATTACAGCACAAAATTTGATGGACAGGTGGTGGCGTTGGTATCATTACATCTAGTTCCAAGATGAAATCTAAAGAAAGGGAAGATCTCAGCATGTTTAAACTACGTACAGTTTACAGAGACAAATTGTTCATCGAATAAACACAGTTACTCTATTACAGAGCAGTTGATTGGAAATACGATAGCAGTACAGCATGATATTTGACAATGAGGTAATGGCATTTAAATCTAGACGCAATGACTTCACCTACCGACAGAATATTAATTTAGACAAAGGCATAAAGGAAAGATTTCGTATAGCAAGCTTTGCATATCTCATGGTACGCACAGTTTAGAAAGGCTGGTTAGGTTAGCAAACAATCCACCTGGTAGAGACTTGATGCCATTGGTAGACAAGTTTCTGTGGAAATATTAAATTATTTTAAGAAGCACATGCGCAGAGGGTTTTAATACAATCCTTGCAAACGTAACTTGATCAATGGTTAGTTCGAATAGAAGGTTAGGAAATAAACATTTCCTGGCTCAAGAGTAACCTACCTAAATGCATCTTAAAGTAACAATGGTAGAGAAGAATTTTCCATGCACAAGAGGAATTTATTGTGAATTGATATTCAATAGAAGTAACCCACTTGAAATCACCAATTTTATCATGTTGATTTTAAAATTTCGTGGTAACTATACATTTGCCGTGTTTTCTCTGGTAGTAATGACTAATTAGCAACCTACGATTCACTTATTCTGGTTCTAAACAAAAATGATATTCAGCTTTCTTTCTAGCCATAAACTGTCAAGACAATGTTTTTTATGTCTTTTCTATGCAGACGAATAGGATGCATTCTAAAAATTATAAGACTTTATAGAATGATATACTACAATTAAAAAACGGAATGCACAATCAGCGTCTTTTTTGTTGTTGTTGTTTTGTTTTATTTTTTGAATAAAACATAAGACCACTGTGCAGCCTATCGTGTTATAAACAATGTAGAGACATTTCTACGCCTCGAAGTCTGGTATCCGGTTAATTCATACCTATTGCAGGATGGACAACCTTATTTTTCAACGTTTCTTAAGTGTCCTTTTGAAAATAGCGTAGGATAATCAATGTTGCATTTGTCAATCGCTTGTCGCAAAGTTTGCCATTAAGATATTGAAAAAAACTCACGATAAACGGAACAAGTCAGAACAAGTGGTATAGAAAAAATATCTAGGTAGTTGGCACTCCTCGCTAGGAGTAAAGAGAAAAAAACAGTAATATCATGAAAGACATAAAGAGACTGTCAGGTTTGAAATGTTTAGTAAGACAATCATACAGTTTTTCAGTCGTTGAAGGAATGCATTTGCTGAGATGCGTAATCGTAATATTTGAGCAAAAGAGATTATTCCCGTGAGAGGCGCTCCACTCTGAAGAACAAGATGGTCCGCAATCTGAGGACAAAATAAATAAATAAATTGAAAAAAAACCTTTTATTCAGAAAAAGGTTAGATGAGAGCAGAGGTGTGTGAGAGCTCCATTCACCTAGATGGCACCCACACAAAAGAAATCCGAACTCGATTACTGGCTTTAATTCAAGGAGTGGGGAAAAGGAGATTAGGGATAACTACCAAAGTATTTAACATATATTTGCTTAGGTCATATTTAGTTGGCTTTTCGGGAAGCTAAAGGGGGAGGAATTCGTGCAGAAACTGGGTTTGATCTTCGCCAAGCGTATCAGAATATGGTGTAAATAGCTGTTAAAACAGGTGTGTGTTCCTTTTGTAAAAGTCTTAAAAACTGGTGTTGGCACTGAGTCACCCACCAGCGTCAATCGTGATATACATCTACTTTAAGATGAAGATGTATGATACAGCCAGTGGTGACATCTCACGCAGCTCAGCATTTTCCTTTCCCAACGCATTGCGCGTGGCGGAAATAAATTGTGGAAATCAGAAAAAAAATGAAACAGTTGTTGTGAAAACGCAAGATATGAAATTAATAGATCGATACTGACCAAGAAAAATCACAGTGAACATTCGCAAGTTAAATCCATGCTTGCTGGTGACCAGCCAAGTATAGTTTCCTTCTTCATAGAACTGGATATTCACAGACTTTTTTGTTGTGTTTACCAATACTGTGGACTCTTTCAGTATTACTGTGTTCAAACGAAGGTCTCCTGGCACTGAAAACGTCACTTTGTAACCTGGAAGGGTTTGCACAACAGCTGGCACCGACGTGTTGAGAGGATCTTGAATAAAATACAATGTAACGGTATAATAAGTAACAAAGCTAGTTGTTGACCACTAAATGAGTCAACATTAACTAGTTGTATAAATATTTAACAAATGGTAAACACCACAGCATACACTATTGAGTTATGGATGCACGCGGGAGGTTGCTAAGCACGAAAGAAGCGTAAGAGTCGCTCGAGGCGATAGCCGAGAGAGACTCTAGCTTCTTGAGTGCTTAGCAAACCTTCCAGGTGCATCCATAACTCAATAGTGTACGCTGTGGTGTTTACCATTTGTTTTATAACATAACATTGATACATTGTAACTAAAGAGTTCCCTTTAATTTAACAAATCTTACGCGAGCAGAAAAAAACAAGCGCGCGCGGAAAAATAGTCTTTGCATTTGCTCACGTCAGCAGTGTACACCCATGGGCAAATGGGGGACCCTAAATTGACCAATCAGAGCGCGCGCTTTACTTTAGTTATGTTATAAACTCATTTGTCTCACGATACAGTCACACCCGATATTGAATGAGACGTTTAGCAATCTTCGAGGTCTTAAAAAGCTAGCGATTTGTTTGTTCTGGCTCTTCTGTGACGCTGTATGCGTGATCTGACTGACTAGGTGGAAGAATTCACCAAGCTTGTGTTACAATTGTTACTTATGGTGATGGGGAGCTCCGTCTGTACCGTGTATTCACGCTAATGATCAGCATGATCATGATCATCGTCACCAGCATCGATCATCACCATCATCGTCGTTATCGTTGTCGTCGTCTTCATCATCATTATTATTATTACCATTATCATCATTACTCTTATCTTAATTAGAATTATTTATCATTAATGTTATTAATGCGAAAAACGCTTCATCGCAGTTGTCTTTCTTTGTCACAGTCTTTTTACATTTTACAAATCGTAACGAGAAAAGCTTTCTTGTTTCTATTGTTGAGATGATCAAGAGCCTAACAGTGCCCCATCAAGGAAGCTGGAGACCAACCGTATGCGAAATGGGTGTAAATTTTTGCATCGGAAAACGGTGCCAGCCTTTAAGGAAAAATTAGCTCCCAAATTAGAAATTCTTTGTTCTTGTAATTGTTATTCATACTCGTCGGTGCATAGTGATCAAGTACAGCGAAATGCTCCAACAACTTCATTTGTTTTCGAACATTTGATTCGTCGGTCATTGAAATACCTATGTGAAGTATTTTCTCCTTTCTATCTTTCTCCATTCCCATTCTAGTTTTAAACGCAGACAGATGGCAAAGATCTCCACGTCGGATCAAAATCATGAAACGTTTACGCGATCAAAATTCAAGGATCAGTATGTTTTTCCGCAAGAAACCCTTTAGAATAACTTCTGTTATATTCGCTATTCACACTTTGGTCGAAAATACGTTTTTTTGAAATAAGTAGCGTGCGTTTTAATACTTTACCAAAATTTTACCTTGATACAATAGTGACATGAAAAACATTTGTGATGTGCCGCGCTCTCTATGTTATATCGTTTTAAAGACATATCGCCGGAGCAATATATATATCTTATTAAACAAGCGCGAGGGCCGTACTGGGAGAATATCGGCCCGAAGTCTTGACAATACGGACCGAGCGCGGCTCGGTCCGTACAAAAAAGACCGAGGGCCGATATTCTTCCAGTACGGTCTCGAGCAAGCTTGGTTAATAAGAGATTTATTATTATACGACTGAAGTTCAAAGGGACACAAGTGCGGTATCACTCGGGACCATTCGGGACAGTGCCAGGTCCAATACTGAGAGAATATTAACCGGCTATAGAGCATTTTGATTGGTTGATTTTAGTTATTGGCCCTCTGACTGCCCGAGTCGTGTAATAAATCGCTGGAATGATATATCGTTGGGGGGCGAAATTGCAGGAAAGCTCCAATATCTCTCCCGATTATCGTTCTTACATGTCGAAAAAATCAGCGATAAATCACCGATATAACGGCAATATCTCGGAGGAACAAAGTGTAATACTCGAGAATAATTGTTTGCATTACTTATTGTTGTCATTATCATTACTTTTATTGCTATGATTATTCGTATAATTATCGATACTATAAGCATTATAAAATGCCATACTGAGGCATATAATATATCTGTAATACCTGAAGTACCTGAGGTGTCTGTAGGACCTGTGGTAGCTGTAACAGTAATAGCTGAAACATTCATATTACCTAAAGTAGCTAAAGTACTTTTAGCACCTGAGGTAGCTGAAACATCTGCAGCTGAGGCATTGGTAGCACCTGAAATAGCTGAAGTATCTGTAGGACCTGATATAGCTGTTGCAACCGAAGTAGCTGAAGTAACTGTTGGACCTGAAGTAGGTGAAGCATCTGTAGAAACCGAATAAGCCGAAGTATTTGTGGGAACTGAAGAGGTTGAAGCATCTGTAGCAACTGAAGTAGCTGAGGCATTTGCAGGACCTGAAGAAGCTGAGAGTGAATAAGTTGTAGCACCTAAAATAGCAGAGGTATTTGAAGGATCTAAAGTAGCTGAAGCATCTGTAGCAACCGAATAAGCCGAAGTATTTGTGGGACCTGAAGAAGCTGAAGCATCTGTGGCAACTGAAGTAGCTGAAGTATTTGCGAGACCTAAAGAAGCTGAAGCATCTGTAGCAACTAAAGTAGCGGAAGTATTTGTTGGACCTGAAGTAGCTGGAGATTTTCTAGGACCCGAAGTAGGTGTGAAATAACGTATAAGACCTAGATACGGTGCAGTATTGTAAGGACTCATTGAAGACCCTGCGGCACCTATAGCAAAACAAAAGTATTTTCAATAAAGCTCATGGTAAGGATGAGGGAAGCTTAGAAGAGCAGGGCCGATATCTTACTATACTGACGGTGTGTATTGATGCAAAGGAAATACATGGCGTTAGCATATCGTTAGCGGAATGGTGGAGTTGCTACGGAAAATCTTTCTTAGACTGAGAGTAATGTTCTATCAAATGATCAGAACTTTCGTTAGTGATTGAACCTACTTAATATATTTGTAGCGCCTGAAGTAGCTGAAGAATCTGTATTACCTGAAGTAGCTGAAAGACTTGAAGGACCTGAAATAGCTGAATCTGTGGCACCTATGGAAAAGCAAAAGTCTTTTCAATAAAGCTCATGTTCAAGATGAAGGAAGCTTAGAAGAGCAGGGCCGATAACTTACTTTACTGTGTGTACTGATTAGATACCCATAGCCTCAGGATGCAAAGGAAATAGCTGAGCTTGAGCCTCTTTTTTACTAGTATCACGCAACATCTCCTGCTTAGTTTTCCAAGCTCATAGTGTTAGTTTCTGCTGTTGTATCTGCATTTTAAATTGAGAATGTTTCTTCGATTGAGTTTTTACAATTAAAACGTTTTTTATGCTCACTGCACGTACAAGTAAAGGAGAAGAACAGGGAGAATCCTCTTTCTTGCACAATGTGGTCTGAAGAGAATGTGATCACGGCGAAGGCTCCCGTTACTTGAACTGTTGTTCCATTTTTCTCTCCGCAGTATATACCGAATGTGTCCCCAATTGAATTGGCAATCTTCATATAGTCAGACCTGTATTAAGAAAAAAGAACGTTGATTCAGATCTCTTTTTGGCTCATTACACTTTATAGCAACTGTACACCTTGGCCATATGAGCTCTGATCTCCCCTTTCGGTTCCATCATTTTCTTTTCCTATGCATCATTCGTTTGCGTTAATCCAAACCAATTTTAGCTCACTTCGCGGTGTACTTTATTGCGGCAACGGTGCATAATTTCCATTTGAGCTCTACTTAAACTCAAATGATTATCATTATCATTATTGGCATTATAATCATTGATATTATTATAATAATGGGCGCTTCAAATAAACAAAAGCTAAAAAAGCCAAACAGATGTTTATTTCTTTCTCTTTACAGGGATAGTAAAATCGTTAACATCAACTCCAGTTATAGCAGTAGCATAAAATACATACCAGCACAGTGATTCATACTCTAGACGAAAATCATCGAAATAAATTCTAATAGCCATTCCGTGGGGAATATTAACACGATATACACAAGACATATTTCCCGGATAGTTATTTGGATATCCAGGACTCTTCAGCGAATTGTTGCTCACGGTGCCACAACCTGCAAGAGGAATATATTACGCACTGAACAATGATTATCATAACAAAAAAATAATAACAATGAAAATAGCAATGATAAACCTAATTCAAGTTTTGAAGCACTGTTAATTAGCTATATGAGCTAACTGGGGACACTATAAAAGATACATTTGTAGAGTCCCACGCGTTATACTCAAAATACTAAAAGAATTTGTACATGTATACTTAGATACATAAACAAATAAGAAAGATTAACTAAGTAAATCAATAACTAATATATAACCACATAAGGTGCAATCCGGCCCACATTTACAATCAGGTTACCAGCCAAATCAATTTTCCTGATTTCCTTTTGAAACTATCAATTTTATTAAAGTTCTTAAACATTAAATGTTAGTAAATCACATAGATATTTAGGAGCAAGGCCGTGAATTGCTTTCAACGTAATAAGCAGAATCTTAATTTCTATCCGGGCTTTTACAGGAAGCCAAAGCAGACCGCGAAGAAGAAGTGAGACGTGACAAAACCTAGATGCATTACAAACTAGCCTGGCTGAGGCATTCAAAACTCTCTGCAATTTGTTAAGCTGGTAGTTGGGCAGCCCATACAAAAGACTGTTGCAATAATCAACACGAGGTGTAGTAAATGCATGGTCAAGTATTTCTGTTGATTCTCGAGACAAATACTTGCGAATGCGTTTGATATTATGCAAATGATAAAAGGCAGCACCACCTAACTTGCTAACATGAGTTGACATAGTAAGCCGCTCATCAAACCATGAGCCTAGGTTTCTAGCTAGTGTTACCGGACAAACATCAATCGACCCAACCCTAATGCAATTGATATTAACCTTGGCCAGCTGCTGCCTGGTACCTATAATTAAAAATTCTGTTTTGTTATCGTTTAACATAAGATTATCTGAAATCGTCCAACTCCTAATGTCATTGATACAGTCAGTCATGGACTTGATGGCAAAATCAGCATCCACGGATCGATTAGGGCTGAATGATACATACAACTGTGTGTCGTCCGCGTAGCAATGAACTTGTGGAGGATGGCGTTCAACAATCTGAAACAGTTTGCGCGTGTAGATAGTGAAAAGCACAGGGCCCAAGCATGATCCTTGAGGAACACCTTGTTTTAAAGGAAACTGATCTTAGAGACTACCATTTAGAGAAACACGCTGGGTCCGGTCAGATAGATACGATTTAAACCAGGCAAGCGCATTGTCAGAAATTCCCAAATCAGACTTAAGACGACCAAGCAGCTTATCATGATGTATCGAGTCAAAAGCTGCACTCAAATCTAATAATACAAGCAAGGTGACATGTTGGTCATCCATAGACATCAAGATCTCATTTTTAACTCTAAGAAAGACCGTCTCCGTACTGTGTTGCTGTTTATACGCCGACTGGAGCAGAGAATGTAAGTTGTTAGCAGTCAGATCCTCCATAAACTGCTCAGCCGCAGCCCTCTCCGACAATTTAAAAATATAAGAGAGGTTACTGAACGGACGAAAATTTTTGAGCGCCAAGTCCAAGCCAGGCTTCTTGAGAGATGGTAACATTTAAATCGTCCTTATATAACCTTATATCTTCAGATAGTATTTTACTTTCTATGCCAGCTACTCGATCCAAGACGTTAGGTGATCGAGCTTTTATGGTAGCAGCGCCAAGGCTCTGGAACTCTCTTCCAAAAGAACTTCGTGCGATTACTAATGTGAACAGTTTTAAGGCGCATATTAAGACTTATCTTTTTAAAACTTTTTATCGGTGAGCAATTTTATATTCAGTTCTATTCTCAGTTTGACATATTATATTGTTTAAGTTAATTTTTAATTCAATCAAAAGTGTAATGCGCTTTTGATCATTGTATGTAAAAGGGCACTATAAATTGATAAATTATTATTATCATTATAAATTAATTCAGTAAATAAATAAATAAATGAATAACTAAATAGATATTTAACTTAACTACATGAGGTGTATTCTGACCAACATTTTCTATCGGGCGACCAGCCAAATCAATTTTCCTGATTTTTTCCTAGGAAAATATCAATTTTAGTAAAAGGACGAAATTTTATCGGTTATTTGCGCTATAATTATGGACCAAGGTATCTTACAGAATGTCTACCACAAGTCATCGAGTTGCATTTTAAAATCACGAAGTCAGAGTTACGCAAATTGTAATTAGCGTCTGGTCTTTGAAATAACAGAAATATACTCTGGAGACATTCCATTTTCAAGATAAACTTTATAGAAATTCGTTTAGTTGATCTTCTTTAACAAGTACTCATAACTCGATGCATAGTCTTCTCTTGTAGACTTTCCAGTTTGTACTTTTCAGATGTTCTTATGAACAGCCATACGATTGAACGATAATTCATGATCAGTACAGTGAGGATTACAGATTTGAAGAGACGCAGCTTGGACGGTCTTCATAACAACAAGTTTCCGCATTCTTGTGAGCACACCAATTTTCGAATTAGCTTTGGAGTACAATGACCTGATAAGTTCATTAAAATCAAAGAGTTTGTGCATTCAATCCCGTCATTATTGACTGTAACCTGTGTCTCAAATGTGTCTTTTGGTCTGGAAGCTAAGAACATTAATGTTGCTTGAAACTTCCCAATAGAAAAATTTCTTTTACACCACTTAGACATTATCATCGCCTCGTATCTGTTTAAATGACATCCACGTATTTCCCACGTTTATACATTAGACTTACTATGAAACATCTGATTGGTCGAGAGCATTCAGTCAATATAATAATGATGGAAACAATAATAATAATAATAATAATAATAATAATACTTGAAGTTCTTAAAGACGCATTCTACATATATTGTCTTGATGCTTTTCACAGCTAAAAGACTGAAAGAGCTCTCACGAAACAGGCACGTTTTCAACGCCCTTTTAAAACTACCAACAGGGTTACATTGTCTAAAAGCAAGATTTGTACGTAATCAAAAGTAACTTATAATTAAAAATTATTCTGTCATTAACAGGAAGCCAGTGTAGCTTTTTTTTAAGCAGGAGTTATTTGATTGGTCTTCGTCATGCACACAATTAATCTTTCCGCGGTATTCTGCAATCTCTACAGTTTCTCAAATTCACGTGAGGGGATTCCATAGAGCAAATCGTTACAATAATCCAATTTCGATAAAACGAAGGCATGGACAATTCGCTCGGTATCCGCTTGCGAAAGATATTTTCTTATTCTGCTAATACAATGAAGCGAACACGAAAGAGCGCGACAGCCGTTGTTATCATGGGGAACAAAGATGAGGTGTGAATCAAGCGTAACTTCAAGGTATTTGACCACACTAGTAGGCTGAACGTAACGATCACCGAGTTTAATCGAAGCAATCGGTTCAGCAGGTGAAAAACGCGAAGAGAAATGGATCATCTGAGTCTTTGACGGACTACGTTCACGCATAATGCATAAACTCTGACTCATGATAATCATCTAAGCACAAACTGAGGTTTTCAAATGCAACGGCGCGGTTTCCTTTACGCATAACAATGTAGACCCAGGTGTCGTCAGCATACATCATTGCGTCGAAACGATGTGCGGAGATGACATTTTCAAGAGGAGCGATGTACAGTGGAAAGAACAGCGATTTTAGGAACGACCTTTGCAGGACACCCCTAGACAGATATCTTGGTCGAAAAAGAATCTTATCGAGGGCAATGTATTCAGGACGATCTTTAAGGTATGATTTAATGCAACGAAGAACCATTTCTCAAAAACCATAGCGATACCGAGGCATATCGAGAAGGACAGCGTGGTCTATTGTGTCAAAAGCCGTGGATAAGTCTAACAACACTAGAACAGTTTCGCTTTTATTGTCAATGGCCTGATGTGTATCATTAATAACTCGAAGAAGGGCAGTTTCAGTGCCACGTGATTTTTTCTGTACGCTGATTGCATTTTATAAAGTAAGCCGTTGGTGGTGAGATATCTTTCAATATGGGAAGCCACTATTCTCCCCAATGCCTTGGAGAAAAACGATAGATTGGAGATGGGCCGATAGTTAGCAAAGACATCAGCATTAAGGTTGCGCTTTTTAACTGAGAGGGTAAACTAGTGACTTCTTGAAGAAAGAAGGGGAAATAACCTGATCTAAAGACACGTTCATGATATCAGTTAGAGTGCATGGGCAACAGAACATCAATACAGTCCTTTAACAACCAAGTAGATATTGGATCGATAGCACAACTTTTACTTTTTGATGACCATCAGGAGAGACATGGTCAAACTGACTGAAAGAGGTACAGCGCGATATATTAGTCACACATTTAGACCGTGAGGAAGGTTGTTGAGAGAGAGAATTTCTGATATCAATGATTTTAGATTCGAAGAGGTCGCCAAAACCCTTAACCAGGTGTTCAAGAGATTCATGTGTCGGTAGCGTTGGAGAAGACTTTAAGCTGAACATACCATCAACCAGCTTGAAAAACTGCTTCATATTAGACGTACTAAATTTCTCCTTCAAGTAATTGGTTTTTGGAGACCTCCAGCAAGCGATTATTATAGGCAATTTCCGAATTACTTTTGGCCTCTTTTTCAAAACGAGGCCTGGTGCTCAACCATTCTTGTGAAAATGAGTTTAATTTGCACGTGAATGAAAACTTATTATCATATGAAAGGATGAGCACCAGGACTCATTTTGAAAATGAGGCCAAGGGTAATTCGGAAATGGGCTATTGCGGCAGGCCTGATAGTAAATTTTCTTGTCAATTGATAACTTATTGGATTGAAATTCTCTTTCATAGCGCCTTTTGACACGTTTTATTCTCGAAGATCGTATGAGAACCAAGGCGTATGTGGCCTAAGCTTTACATTCCTAGTTTGTTCAAGGGCGTACTTGACAAGTAGAAGACGTTTGTCATGCGATCTTCGCAGTAATGAACGCCACTAAAGCAGTGGTGAAAATAGGGCCCAAACAATTTTTCAGTCCTTTATGGGATTTGAACCCACGACCTCTGCAATACCGGTGCAGTGCTCTACCAACTTAGCTAATCAGCCAACTGGAGTCTGGTCTTTACGTTCGTTCGTAATAAACCCGTGAAATGATAAATCAATGATTGTGGTTATATGAAAATGATATATGTGAAAAACTGCAGCTCACAGAAATTATTTTCATGTATTCATAGCCATTTACAGGGTGTATACTCTTAATCCTGTACAAGTTATACTATTTTGGTGATAATTAATATTTTTCTTAAAACGTAAGTATCAAACACAATTAACCCTTGACATCCTTGTGCCGCTTTCCAAAAAGCAAACAAACAGACAACAGACAAACAATAGAAATTAAGCAAATCATTGACCGACTTATTCAAAGATTGATCTAAAGACACCGAGAAATAGTTGTACCTCTTCTCAGTTGGCGTACATCATTATAAATTCTGTCACTAACGCATGCTCATGTAACCAAAATATTGCGCAGCTGACTATCTGTTTGGCGCTCGATAAACGCGAAGGCAACGGAGCCGTGAAAACGAGTGACCGAGCTTTGAGTATTATCTCCCCACTATTTTCTCTTGTCCCTGCCGCTCGAAGCTTTACAGCCAAGATAAAACCACGACCAAGTCGCAAGCTGAGCCATGCTCTGAACATAAAAAGTAGTTTTAACTTATATACTAAGTTTCTGTCTGCACCTGGTGGCTGAAGTGACGGAGAAACAGTTGTACTCGTAGTAACTGCAGTGTTTGCAGGTCCTGTAACACCTGCGGGGAAACAAAATATTATATCAATAATGCTAAGATTCTGAAGGGGGAAGCACAGAAGAGCAAGGCAGTTATTTCATTTGGTGTGTTCGTCAATTAGATGGCCATAGCTTTAGATGGAAATGGTAAATGGTAAATGGTAAATGATAAATGGTAAATGGTAAATGGTAAATGATAAATGGTAGGTGGTAAATGGTAAATGGTAAATGGTAAATGGTAAAGGAAATGGTAACTCCTACGTGTTATTGTTCCTCTCATCCACCTCTAACTCTAACGCAGACTTGCAAGTCAACTGTGTTGTCACCACTGTTGCATTTGCATTTGAAATTATGTAATATTGATTACTATGTATTATTATGCAAGTTTTTTTTTAATTGAATTGCTACACTTAGAGTATTTTTGTTATCAGAGTTATTGCTTTTTTTTTTTGTACTACACGGACATTGTAAGGTTGTGGAGAACTGTAGGTAGAATCCTCTTGCACCCAATTCTGGGTTTGAATGGAAAGTGATCAAGGCGTAGTCTCCAGTTACATGAACCGTTGTTCCATTCTTCTTTCCACAGTATTTACCAAAGATAATGTCATCTGCATTGGAAATTTCAACATAGTCATCCCTGTAGAAATTAAAACACACAGCTAAAGATATTCCTACTCTAGTTAAAAGCTCAAATCTCTGGCAATCTAAAATTTTATCAAACTCCCTAGGAAGAAGTGAAGTGATTGAAATTAGCTTCAACAATACACTATGTAGTAAATGGCTTGAACCCGGGGGTAACATGTGAAGGTGTAGTCTGATCGTCCGGGTGAGTGTAGTCCTGAGAAGGACTGTTGTCAGTGGCAGTGACTGACTTTTCGACAACCTGTGCGGAAGTCATCATAAGAGTCAAGTCAATTTTCTATCTAAAAAAAGCCTTTACTTGCTATTAATTTGATAGATCGAAGATACATCAAGGAAATAAGAAGACACAATAATGATAATAATAATAATAATAATAATAATAATAATAAAATATATAATCTAAATTTTAAAAAAATTAAGAAACGAAATTATGTACGTGGCAAGTTTCCAAAATCATACTCTCCCCGAACACTCCCAATGAAACATTGGATAGAAAGGGAGGAGAAAAGAGAACATTACACAGTGGCGAGACGATATAAATTTGATGTTCGAGCGGCAAGTAAAATATCTCACTTGATCTCTGCGCTCACTCGTGGGGTATTATTGTTGTTACTAGAACATGAAATTCATATCTTCGAGCTTACATGTAATTTGCTCTTTATTATATGGACAATAAATATACTTGGTAAAGATTGAAAACCTGGCATTAAATTAAAATTTCCCTAGCCTCGTTGCAACATTTGAGGAGTTCCATGAAAACCTTTAGATCATACAGCGTTTTCTTTTTAGTTCTCTCGTTCTCCTGTCGGTCTCCTGTCGCTTCTACTTATATCAAAATAATAATAATAATAATAATAATAATAATAATAATCATAACAATAATAATTATTGTTATTATTATTATTATTTTCTTTCTTATTCTCTTAAAGAAATTAAACAAACCTAAAAGGCTAAATAGGTCATTTTTCTCTTCGTATTTAAACTGATCTCAGAAGTGAAGTAACATCAACATCAACTCTAGATGTCGCAAAAGTTTAAACATAGTATACCTGCAAAAGTCTTTGTACTTTATTTGAAAATCATAGAAGTAGATTCTCAAAGCCATTCCGTGGGGAATATCAACCCGATATATACAATGCATATTCTCTGGATACTCATTTGGATATCTTGGACTTTTCAGTAAGTTATCATTCACAGAGCCGCAACCTGTTAAAGCGATGAATAATGCATTAGACAAATGTCAACTTGTGGTCAACTTTTACCATTTTTTTTTATTGTAATCAATTTAAGTTAATCACTCAAACTAATACTTATTATTGGTAATCTTGAAGCATGCACGAAAGGAAGTTAAAAAACTGTCAAGGTGTCATGATCCAGCGATCTGTTCGCGGGAACGACTTTACGAAGAGGGCTAGATCCTAGTTCAATTCTACTTTGTTTACATTATCTACACTCACATTTGAGTGCTATTTTATTCGGAATTTGGTGAGTCAATCTCTTATCATATCGCATGAGATATGATAAGATTCAACAAAATGTATCGTGCTGAAAGTGAGAGGGGCTCGTGGTTTGCCCAATTTCTTCAGTTTAACGAATCGACTCTATGTTACCGTGCGTCTGCTGAGGAACAGATCCTAGAAAACGTCAAAACGTAATAAGAACAAGAAAGGGACACACGGAGTGCATCCGAATGTGTCCCTGAAGCTCAAAAATTGTCACCTTTGTGATCAGAATTTTGAAATCAATATCATTATAAAAGCACGAGGAGGATAAAGAATTCGTTGAAGCTAGAATCCGTACCGAAAATTTTTTTTACTGCGCCAAAACGGAAGAGAAAAAGCCCACTGATAAAGCAACGATAAACAGAGAATGACAAAAGTGAGGTCGCTCCGAACCGATTACCTATTGCGATTTTGAATCTGGTTCATATATTGATGACACCGAACATCTGGAAAGTAAATTTCAGATAGAAACTGGGAGCATCAAATTAAATTGAAGGAATATTAAAATTTTGTAATATAATATCAATTATCTAACAATTGGTCCGTCGAAATATGAAGCACGCAGGAAGTTTGGAGAGAACGAAAGATGCTTAAGAGATTCCCGAGACGCAGCCGAGTGCAAGTCCAGTTTCTCTCGTGCTCTCAAAATATCCCGAGTGCTTCATATCTCCATCAATACATAGCTGACGTAGAAACTAATCGTTTTATAATTATTGTCAATGCTGCTGTTTGAATATTTTTTTCTCGCAGTTTACAATTCGACCGAAGCAATCTGTGATGAAATAAAAGCAGTTAAAAAACTTATTCTCAAACTAAAAGAATGATAGCTTCAGTCAAAATGTACACAGGAAACAAAATTTGAAATGATAATCGACGAGCATACTCAGCGATCCAACTTCAAAGTCGTTGTGCATTTTTGTCGCGTTTACCAAATTACCCCATGCTAGTCGAAGACTATTACAAAAAAGCCAGACCAAAATGAGAAAGAAATATTTAAAGACAAAAGCTTTATTCAAAGCCTTATCAAATTTGCTGGGTAGAGGCGCAAAAGTCAGAATTCCTCGCGTTGTTAGAGCTACAAACAAAATCTTCTGTTGCATAATACTTCAAGCGCATATCAAATTTTTTAAAATAATGTTTACTGGGCCACAGAATGGTTCGGAAGTGACAGGCAAAAGCCTAAGCGAATTCGAAGGCCATCCGGCACAATTCTAGTTTTTGAAAAGAATTATTTAACGTAAAGATCTACTTAATGATAAAAACACGCCTGATGCAGCTTCTTACTGTAAGAGATTGTTCTGTTGCACAGGAAATGTTTGGCGTTTGGTAGAACTGCTTGATTGATATCGTACTTAGATTTAAAAAAAAAAAAACTTTTGTACGTGCAGTTTTCCGTACGGGACTTTATTCCTTTGATATACATATACTGCGATATTTTTTCCATTGCCATTAAATTTGCATTGTTAGTGGGTTTTTGTTTCTAATTTGCGTTCAGAAAATTATTTCAATGAAAATTCTCGTGTTATGTGCAATAAACAGCTCGCGACATAGAAAGTTCTTTGTACGGGGTTCTATTCACTCGTTGTTTGTGTCAAAAGCCCTCACTCGCTCGTACCTCGCTCGTTCGGGTTTTTGATACAAACAACTCTGAATAAAACCCCGTACGCAGCACTTTCTACGGCGTAAACTACATGTAATAAAGATATACAAAAAGCGTTCAGCACATTGTTGATTTATACGGGCACGTTATATTTTTTCAGATAAAGAGCCTAAGATGAATGCAGACCTCGCAGCTTGTAAAGACAAGAGAAAGGGAATCTGGCCAAAAAGGAATACGAATTCACCCAAATCAAGCGAACTCATCACTAAGGTCTTTGAGCCAAAAGTAAGCTTGTCCCTTCCTCCTTCCACATGATGTTCTTTGAACTTTGTTATCTTGATAAGCTTATCACACTTGTCTCTTCATAATAAAAACACGTTTTACTATATATCTCTGTTTGAGACATCTGGATTGATATTATTGTAAATCTGGTTGCTTTGGGGTGTAGATTCAAATTGGAGCGCACCCAAACTCTGTTCAATTTGCAGATTACCGTCACTATGCCAACCCACGTTAAAATTTGCCATTTTTACATACCAGTATTAGTAGAAGCTGCAGACAATGGTCGACTTGGTGTTGTTCGTAGATATTGCGAAGTGGCCACATTACGTAATTGACACGTAATCGTTACTGGGTCTGTAATTTTATCAAGGGGATATCCTTCTACACATCTGTCTGATTCTGAAAAAAGCAAAATATATATATATATATATAAAATGAATATGTTGAAGAGAGAATAATTATGTGTTATGTGAGTGGGAATGCAGTTTGCCTCATTAGTGTGTTTGGAGTTTTTATACATCGTCTTTGTGCTGGCTCTTTTTATTTGCAAATGTTCGCCCGTGGTTGGTTCGACTCCCCAAATAAACAAGATTTCCCACATTATTAAGTGAGTAAACGCTTTTCAACCGTGATCCAAAGTTTGTTCTTCGTGTTATCCTTAGAGTTAATTTATTTGCCGCTCGGTTTGGCTTTGCTTGAAAGATTTGGCTATTGCATAGGAATTTGTCTGCAGAATGCTGAGTGATTGTAACTTTTCAATAAACGCAGGATCACTTTCAGCCCTTCATATGCATATATACATTTAACATGTTCATAGGGTAATTAAAGGTAATCAAAAAATAATGTTCAAATTCATATTTGGGTCAAGGTAAAGTTAAGCAACCATTGGTCTGGTGCATAATTCCGGGAGTTAAGAGAAATGTGTTGGCCTCGTGGTTATTGCGCTAGACTCTGAATCTAGTGGCCTAGCCGAGGAAATGTGTTGTGCTCTTAAGCAAGACTCTTTACACTCACAGTGCCTCTCCTCACCCAGGTGTTCCAATTGGTACTGGCGAATTTAATGCTGAGGAATAACCCTGCGATGGACGAGTATCCCATCCGGAGGAGACTTTTTGTCATTACTTAATTCAAAACACCAGACCCCGTGTAAAAGTATCTAATCTGATCTAAGCCACAAGGAATTTATTTGGAAAATCATTGTTGACACAGTGATTCTATTTTTATGATTTATACGATTCTTAATGTTCTATAGTGCTTAATTCTTCAAAATTTTTCTATAAATGATATAAACATTTCTAAAGTTGAATAAAATGTTTATAGTATTTATACCATATGCAGAAGTTGGGGAGACTGTAGTTTTTGTAATACTTGTGTTGCTCGTAGAAGCGTTGAGACCTGAAAAGAGTAAATAATTTTTGTTTTACCAGATGGCTCGGGGGAAAGAGAAACTACAATAATAACAATAATTAGTATTATTACACGACTCGGGGAGTCAGAGGGCCAATAACTAAAATCAACCAATCAAAATGCTCTATTGCCGGTCCAATATTCTCTTAGTATTGGACCGGGCACTGTCCCGAATGGTCTCGAATGATACCGCACTTGTGTCCCTTTGAACTTCAGTCGTGTAATAAATGTCTTATTAACCAAGCTTTCTCGGGATCGTACTGGAAGAATATCGGCCCTCGGTCCGTACTGTCAAGACCTCGGGCCGATATTCTCCCAGTAAGGCCCTCGCGCTTGGTTAATAAGATATATGTAATGTATCAAAGCGCGTTTAATGATATTATACTTCTGATACGATGTGTGGCACCTGTGTTGTATCTGAATTGTAAACCGGTTGTATCCGCATTTTAAAATGAGAGAGTTTCTTCCATTGATTTTTTACAGTTAACCTTTTCTAATGCTCAATACACGTACCAATGAAGGAGAAGAGCAGGGAGAATCCCCTTTTCTGCACAAAATAGTCTGAAGAGAATGTGATCACGGCGAAGGCTCCCGTTACATGAACTGTCTTTCCAGTCTTCGTTCCGCAGTATGTACCAAATGTGTCCCCATCTGAGTTGGCAATCTCCACATAGTCATAACTGTATTAAGAAAAAAAGAAAGCAATCTCGTGTTCTCTTTAAGCATTGATTTCGGTCTCTTTTTGGCTCATTTCTCTGTATATTTGTAGCAACAGTACATCTTGGTTACATAAGCTCCGATTTCCCCTTTCTATTTCATCATTTTGCCATTCCTCTGCATTATTCTTTGGCGTTAATATAGACCTTTCTTGGTTCACCTCGCTGTGTACATATGGATAGTTTCCATTTGAGCTCTACTTAAACTCAATTGATCATCATTATCATTATTAGCATCATCATCTTTGATATTATTATTATTATAATAAGCGCTCCAAATAAAAAAAACCTGAAAGGCTAAATAGATGCTAGTTCTCTTTGCGGGGATAGTAACATCAACGTCAACTTCAGTTTCAGCAGCAGAGTAAAAAATACATACCCGCACAGTGGGTCCCTCTCCAGATGAAAATAATCGAAATAGATTCTCAAAGCCATTCCGTGGGTAATATTAACATGATATACACAATACATTTTTTGCGGATAGTTCTTTGGATACCCAGGACTTTTGAGTGAATTGTTTCTCGCGGAGCCACAACCTGCGAAAGGAAAACATAACGCACTGAACAACGATAATTATAATGACAACATTAATAATAATAATAATAATAATAATAATAATAATAGTAATAATAATAATAACAATAGTAATAATAATAAACTTAATTCAAGCTTTTATGCACTATAAATTAGCTATATGAGCTAATTGGGGACTCTATGAAATAAAAAGATACATTTGTAGAGTTTATAGCTTTTTTACCTCCATTTTGAAATCACTGGTGATCCCTGTAATCTGACTGGCTCTAATTGGTGCGATTTATTCACGAATCGCACCATTTTTTGCTCTAAATGGCATCATTTTACGCTCGACTGAGTTTCTGACACATGACGTCAATGTCTTTCTGTTGTGCATACAAAATAAGATGTAGACACATTTCTGGTTACGCTTTTATTTAAAAACCGGCTCAGTACTGCATCAATAAATTATTTGAATTGACCAAGTCCTGTATTTGGGCGATTTCAAAATGGATGTAATGTAGTGGTAATTGAACCTCGTGTTGTGCAATTTTGGTCTGAAATCATACTTGTGATTTCAAATCGAACTCGTCCTGCGCGCCCGTTCGATTTTGAAATCACGCGTATGATTTCAGCCCGAATTGCACTCTACTCAGTTACCATTATACCTACTTAGATATAAATCGATAAAAAAGTTAATTAAGCAAATCAATAAATAAACAAATAACAAAACTGTCGAGGAAAAAGCCCATTGACAGAGCAACGATAAAAAGAAAATGACAAAAGTCAAGTCGCTCCAAACCGATTACTGATTACGATTTCAATTTGAATCTGGTTCATATATCAGTGATATCGAACATCTTGAAAGTAAATATAGAAACTGAGAGGCTCAACTTCAATTAAGGGAATGTCAAAATTTAAAATCTAATACTATATCAATTATCTACCAATTGGTCCATCGAAATATGAAGCACACAGGAAGTCTGGAGAGCATGAAAGACGCTTGGGAGTCTCTCAAACCGTCGTAAGCGCTTCAGATCTCAATGAATGCACAGCTTATGTATGAACCAATTCTTTTATATTTCAGCCAACGCTGCAGTTTGGATGTTTTTCTTTAGCTTTAATGAAATAAAAAAACCTATTCCCAAACTGAAAAAAAAAACAATGATAGCCCCTTTCAAAATGTACAAAGGAAAAAAAACTTTAGATGATAAACGATGAGTTTACTTAGTGATCTGATTTCCTTTAATTTACGGAGCATCTGTAGTAGGTAAAGTAGCTAAAGTATCTGTAGGACCAGAAGAAGCTAAAGCATCTATAGTAACCGAAATAGCTGAAGTATTTGTACGACCTGAAATAGCTGGAGAATTTCTAGGACCCGAGGTAGATGTGGAATAACGTATAAGACCAAGATACGCTGCAGTATAGTCAGGACTCGTAGAAGACCCTACGACACCTGTGGCAAACCGGTTGTATCCGCATTTCACATCGAGAAAGGTTCTTCCATTGAGTTTTTACAGTTAACCCTTTTTAATGGTCTATGCACTTACCAATGAAGGAGAAGAGCAGGGAGAATCCCCTTTCCTGCATACTATAGTCCGAGGAGCGGAATGTGATCTCGGCGAAGGCTCCCCATACATAAACTGTTTTTCCAGTCTTCTTTCCGCAGTATCTACCAAATTTGTCCCCATTTGAGTTGGAAATCTTTACATAGTCAGACCTATATCAAGAAATATGCTGTCAATAAAGGCTTCATTCAAGATAAATTATAAATGAACCGATCATGTTGGACGGTCTCAAATATTGCATATTTTCAGCGCCCTCAATCAATCGCCTATATAATAATGTTTGTCGAGCCTTAGCTCAGCAAACAATTCACAATTTCTTCGATTTCCACTTCCTTTGTAAACATCACTAAACAAGCGTTATTCTGTTGCAACAACAGCTACTTTAACTTCCCAAACAGCTCTAATTGTTTTACACGAAAGCATTTTCAATGAAACCCACTTTTTTTATCATTATTATTAAATTTTTATAACTCAGTCATTTGAAACTTTTACAGGCACATGCATGTTTACCTGAAGTATATTCCACTATCTTGCATGTGCATTGCATTAATTTATGCAAATAATCAACTACTCTTCTTCCATTAATTTTTTTTAAGATTAGCTTTGCTTTGCTTTACATACACATCACATGCTCTGCCACTGTAAGGATAATTATGATCCTCATCAGTAATATTACATCATATCCCTACAGAGCATTGTTATGAAACATTCCTATTTGACTTGTAGCCATTTTCTTTCAAGGTGGCAAAATATATGTATATTGCCGAAATTAGTTAAGAATATCTTATTGACTACAACTAGTGTAGCTATACCAGTGCTCCCCTCCCCAGAAATAAGTTGGGAAAAGGACATTTGTATGGTGCTATCATTGTTTACGTTTGGGAATATCCCATCCCTGATTTTTATTTGACTGGATGGGCACAGCAGTACACAGGCTAATTACAAGCTTTTGGTTACTCCTCATGACTTAGTGTTAACTGGGAATTGACAGCTGACTTAATCTAATCAATTTTCTCCTGAACATTTTTAACAAACAACTTTGACTTCAGAAATACTTCTGATAATTTCCCTCTGACATTTCTAATTTGGAAGATTAATCATCATAATCATTATGTTCTTTCCACCTCCATAAACACCCAACATAAGTTCTTTGTTTATAATTCAGGCAGCTTCTGAATATAAGAAATCAAGTTTAGAAG